TCTGGGGTGACCTTGTCGGGGCTGTTCCCTCCGAAGGGAGCCCTGACAAGGCTGGGGAGAGCCCAAAGAGATGGGGAGGATCTGGGGGGCTCTGGGGTGACCTTGTCGGGGCTGTTCCCTCCGAAGGGAGCCCTGACAAGGCTGGGGAGAGCCCAAAGAGATGGGGAGGTTCTGGGGGGACTGGGGTGACCTTATTGGGGCTGTTCCCTCTGAAGGGAGCCCTGACAAGGCTGGGGAGAGCCCCAAGATATGGGGAGGTTCTGGAGTGGCCTTATCGCGGCTGTTCCCTCTGAAGGGAGTCCTGACAAGGCTGGAGAGAGCCCGAAGGGATGGGGAGGCTCTGGGGTGATCTTATTGCCGCTGTTCCCTCTGAAGGGAGCCATGAGGAGGCTGCAGAGCACTGAGCTCAGCCCCGACAGATGGGGAGGTTCTGGAGTGGCCTTATTGCGACTGTTGCCTCTGAAGGGGTCCTGACAAGGCTGGGGAGAGCCCGAAGAGATGGGGAGGATCTGAAGTGACCTTATTGCGGCTTTTCCCTCTGCACGGAGCCTTGACAAGGCTGGAGAGAGCCCTGACAGATGGGGAGGTTCTGGAGTGGCCTTATGGCGGCTGTTCCCTCTGAAGGGAGCCCTGACAAGGCTGGAGAGAGCCCAAACAGATAGGGAAGATCAGGGGGGACTGGGGTGACCTTATTGCGGCTTTTCCGCGCCTGAAGGGAGCTCTGAGAAGGCTGGAGAGGGCTGAGCCCAGCCCCGAGAGATGGGGAGGCTCTGGCACGGTCTTATGGTGGCTTTTCTGCACCTGAAGGGAGCCGTGACAAGGCTGGAGAGGGACTTAGGGTGATAGGAAAAAGGGGAAAGGCTTCAAACTAAAAGAGAGTAGGTTTAGGCTGGATTGTAGGGAGAAATTCTTGTGAGGGTGGTGGAAGAGGTTGCTCAGAGAAGCTGTGGATGGGATAGTTCAGGGCCTGGTTGGATGGGGTTTGGAGCAGCCTAGGATGGTGGAAGGTGTCCTTGCCTGTGGTGTGGGGAGGTTGGAGCTGGATGATCTTTGATGGGTGTTCCAACCCAAACCATTTCTATGTGATTCCATGCAAACCTGTGTCCTGCCCCTCCAGGGGCACCCCTTTTCCTCCCAGCTGTGCCCCCATCCTATTTCTTGCTCCTGATGCACCCACAGTGGTGAGGGCAAAGCAGAAGCGGTGCTGGCAGACTCCAAAAATAAAGGATGGATTCTGCCTTCATTTAATTTTAAAAATTACAGCCACAGGCTTCTCTAAGAAATCCTTGCCCCCTAACTGCTGTTCTGAGAGCTTTAACAGAGGCCAGAGAAGGATCTCTTTGAAGGATCTGACCATCTGCAACCCATTCCCCCCAGCTTCAGTCATGGGTGGGACTCGATTATCTCAGAGGCCTTTTCCAATCTGATTGATTCTGATTTTGACTTTGATTCAGCTCCAAGCTGCTTCCCCCCACCATCATCAGCCCCTTCTACTAAACCCAAATTATAACCCCCTTACAGCCCTCCTCAGCTTCCAGCCTTCAGCTCCCTGCACACATTTTCTTCCCCACCACTGGAGGATTTCTCTTGCATGAGCTCCCAGCTCTTCGTTGCTCCTCTTCTCCCCCAGGAGAAGTTCCCTCTGGGTGTCCTCATCCATGCAGCAGTGACAGAGCCACCCACACCACACAGCAGGAAGATGCCTCTACCCCAGGCCAGCCTCTTCCTGCAGAGGTTTAGTTTGCATTTGCCCTTTCTCCATCCTGGCAGGATTTAGGATAGTTGGGAATGCAGGTTGGGAAGTGTTTTAGGACGTTTGGATCAGCTGGGCTGCTTTGGAGGAGTTACCTGGGTGACAGCTGAGTGGGTGCTCCCAGCCAAAAAGGGTTTTTACTCACCAAATCCCCCAAACCCTGACTGCCCTCACCCTGACCCCACAAAATCACTCTGGACACTTTGTCGACATAAGATACCCTTTATTAAACATACTCTTAAAATCCAAAACATGCTCAAAGCAAAATCATAAGCAGCAGTCTGGTTTCCTTCCTTAAATCCCTGACAGGTGTGTCGCTGGAACGAGGGGCTGTCACCCTCCACCCCTGGCAGCTCCTGCCTGCCCAAACCCCTCCTGGGCGGCCGAGGACGGCGCTGCTGCCGCCCGTGCCCAAATCCCGTCTCTCCTGTGCCACCCAGAGGATGATTCCCTGCTCACAGCCCGGCCGCGGCATCCTCCCAGCTCCTCTGCGTCGCTCCTGCAGCTACCCCGTGCTGTCTGTCTGTCTGTTTGTCTGTCTGGCTGCTGCAGCCCTGGGGACACCGCTCAGAGGAGCCAGAAAACCCTCCCGGCATCTCCCAAGCCCTCCTTGCTCTGCTGCCTGTGCCAGGGTGCCAGGCCAGCTGTCCTTGTCCCCTCTGGAGCCACCAGGAAGGTTGGGCTTTGCTAGATGAGAAGCAGCAGCCCGATGTTCTCTCCCCTGCCCATGCTGGAGGCTTAAGGAGGAGATGGCTGCCGAGGATTTCTCAGCTCAGCATGATGGTGAACCTCCAAAGCTGCTCCTGTGTGCTGCTCCATAGGGCTGGGACACCAAGCATGTCCCCAAAAGGGGCACAGGGCTTGTCCCCACCACTTGAGCCCTCCCTGTGTTTGCAGCTCCCACCTGGCATGCCACAGGATGGCGTTTTGGAGACCAAACACCCAGCCCTGCGTTCCCAGGGGGAATCTGGGAGCTGTTGAGCTCAGAGGAGACACAGCCAGCCCAGAGGAGAAAGAAGCAGGATGGTTGGCTCCAAACCCACCTCTGGCAGGACCCACACAGAGCAAGGCAGAGAAAACACCCCCAGCCCCCAAAAGGGCTTCATCCCTCTCAAGGAGCCACAGTCATCATCAGCACAATTTCTCTGCTGTGGGGATGGCACTGGGAACCTGCTTCCACCCCTCCAGGGACCCTGCTGTCAGTGCAGGAACATCTCTGTGCTAAGGTGGCTCTGAAATGCAGCCTGTCCTGCAAAGAGCAGGAGGAGGTGGCCTTTGCTGCCATGGCCATGTGACAAAACCAGGGGGGGAAAGGGAGGCTCAGCTCCCACCCTGGGCTGCCCCAAAGAGCTCCAGAGCCTGCTAGATTGGGGTGCAGGGTCTGATGCTGCTCCAAGTGATTCCTGCCTGTCCCTGATGCTCTCTGGAGCGGAGCCTGGCCTCTACCAGTGGCCCCAGCAGCCCCCCAAGGTCTGTGGCTTTGTCCCTCCTGCTTTACTATCCCTGTGTGTCTGCCCTTGGAGTAAATCCACTTATGCTGCCAGCCCAGTGCTGGCCAGAGGGATGGGGATGGAGATGGGGGCAGCCCCCACAGCCTCATCCACCCCCTGCTACAACGTGTTATGGGGAGGGCAGGACGGGGGGCATGGGGTGACACTTTTGGCACTTGTTCCAGAGAGAGGGCGCAGCCCAGAGCCCTGAGCTCACAGCAGGCTGGAAGACAGAGGATAAATTGTCAATGCCCAGGGGCTGGTGATGGGCTGGGGGCAGTACCAGGCCTCCTGCCCACCCCTGGGGCCAGGCCCAGGAGCCCAGGTGCTGCTCAGGAGGAGAGCAGAGCGAGGGGCAGCTGTGGGGGCAGAGTTACTGCCAGTGCATGAATGGGGACATCCCATGGCATGGGGACAGCTCATGGCAGGGCAGGGGCATGGGCCAGCAAACCTGGGGGGAGACAGCCCCCCATGGAAGTCAGCAGCTCATGCACCAAGGATGCCAATCCCAACACTCATCCTAGAACCCACGGCCCTGAACAGCGTCCTCCCATTGTCCCCACCCACCCACATCCCAGAACCCCTTGGTGAGGTGACCCTGTCCCATCTGCTCCACACTTTGGAGGAGAGGAGCCTGGGGGTGTAAGATGATGGAGAAGGGGGCAGGAAGGGACCCCAGCCCATCCCTGTTGGGGCTGGAGAAAGGGAAGGTGCCAGTGGGGGGCTCCAAGGTAACATGGCTTTCAGCCCCCGCAGAGAAGTCGAGGTTACCGTCTTTTCTTTTGCAAATCAGTCCTGGTACAGCCGAGGGGTGGCGGTGATGATGCCCAGGGTGCCCGGACATCGGGG